AGTCCGACGATGCCCAGACAGGCTGTTCCCTGCCTCAGTCAAGCTATCTGACGTCACATGTGAATACTGTTTCTGTTCGGGACTCTGACTGTCAAGTGGATGAATTCTAGGTGATGATGGCATAATGCTCGATTCAAGATTTTCCTTGGATTCTTGTATATTGGATTGTTTCACCATCTTGCTGGTATTAAGCAGCTCTGTGTCCGTACCGGACACATCTTGTGCCAGTTTCTCTTCATCCAAGTCATCAATAGTCAGGCTTGTCATTTTGGAGCTGACATTGAGAACCTGGACCTCTTTGTCCTCTGTAAGATCAATAACGTTGTCATTTTCATGTTTAACAGCTGCTGGTGGTGAAACAGAGTTATTTATGTTGTTCAGCTCCGGAGACAACTTCTTCAGCTTGGAAACCCATTCTGGTGGTCTCTGCCACACCTCTTCACAAGCGTTTCTGACCTCCTCCATCCTCTGGTCTCTAAGCTGAGACTCTAGCTGAACTAGCTCGTGAGCTTTCTGTACCCTCCGCTGAATGTACTGATGGGCTTCTTCGCTCTCAACCTGCTCCTCGTGAGCTATTTCCCTCGTATATATCAGGTCGTGGTCAGAAATGCCAAACATTTCCAGAGAGTGCAGATAAGCAATATGTTCATCCAGCTGCAGGTCAGTCTTTCTCTGGGTGGCATGCAGAGACTGCAGCTGGATCTGAGTTGCAGATGTTCGGGTATCTTCCAGTGTGAAAAGCTCCCTTAGTTCCTGTTTGGAGAAATACCTAAATGGGTTCTTCTTGTCACCGGTACTCTGTCTTATTAACGAATCCTTAAATACCTGTCGCCTGTATATTTTCTCTTCCACGGTACCGCAGGTAATCAGTCTGTAAATTACGACGTTCTCTTTTTGCCCGATCCTGTAAGCTCTGTCTACAGCCTGAGCATCTGTAGCTGGATTCCAGCTGGGATCAAAGATCACCACTCGGCTGGCTGCTGTCAAGGTTATACCAACACCACCAACTTGTGTAGTGAGCAGGAAGACGGAGTAGTCCTTGTTACTCTGAAAGGCGTTAATGCGCTTCTCCCTTTCTGTCAGGTGGGCCACCGTTCCGTCAATACGCATGATCTTGAATTGTCTGCGAGACAAGACATGCTCTATGATATCCAGCATCTTCCTCGACTGCGAGAACACCAGGATTCTGTGTCCCTCTTCTCGCAGCCTTTCTAGAAGTCCCACAAGGAACAGCATTTTCCCAGACTCCTGAATCACAGTCTCATCGGAGAGGTGATCTATTTTGGTAGCGCCCGAAAGCATACCTGCTTCGCTCCTGTGATCCTGCTCCGAGTGCTCGTGTTCTTCCAAGCCCAGCTGGATGCAAGCTCGTGCAGACAGGAGCCTGGGGTGGTCACACAGCTTCTTCAAGACAGTCAGCTCAGCCAGCGGTGATCGGGTCGCCATCAGCACTTCCTTCACGTGATCCAGAGAGAGAAAGTTCCTGTAGATTTCTTCCTGCACTGGTGCCAAATACACCCACACGACAAAGTCATTCTTCCTAGTGAGAGATGGCATGATAGGAGCACGGTTCTCGCTTGGATCCTCAGGAAGAGGAGCATCTGGTTTGTCAGCGCGGTTGTTTTTGATATCTTCTTTGGTTCTTCTGAGGAAATACGGCTTTATAATTGTCATTAGATTCTCAGATATCTTCAGCCCCAGTGCTTTCTCGCCTAGAGTTGCATCCTTCTCCCTTGCCCTAGTAATAGGATTCTCGTATTCCATTTTAAAGGTTTTGGCTGTTCCCAAGAGAGAGCCTTGGCATGCAAAGTCAAAGAGGGACCACATTTCCCGCAGGTTGTTCTGCACCGGGGTGCCCGTGAGCAGGAGGCGATGCTTTGCAGGGATCGCATACACACACTTGGTCGTTTTGTTAGACGGGCACTTGATTTTATGCGCTTCGTCGAGAATGACGTAGTCCCAGACAAACTCCTGCTCGTGGCGGCTGGCGAGCTGCTTCCAGTTGTTGATGAGCATCTGGTAGCTCGTGATGACGATGCCGTTCTTCCTCTGGACCCTCTCCAGGTTCCGGGTGCGCTCCACCTTGCTGCTGCCGTGGAACTCCTTGACGCGCAGGCCAGGGGTCCAGCGAGCGAACTCCGCCAGCCAGCTGCTGACCAGTGTGGTGGGCATGATGAGCAGGGCGTGCTGCACCAGCTCGGCGTCGAACATGCCTGAGAGGAAGGCGATGACCTGGATGGTCTTGCCCAGGCCCATGTCATCGGCCAGGATGCCGCCAGGCCTGCCCTCCCGGC